CAATCTTTTATTAAAGACACGCCTTGAACAACAACTGGCCGTGCTGTATAATTATGCTACACAGATTACAAAATACCTATTATGCACGTCCAGACAGTGTGTATCTGCGCCAGAGGCCTTTGAAATATGTTTGTCTGCCGCATTATCTGGCCCTTGTGCTGCAGCAGCTCAAAGCCAGAGCATGCACATAAAGGGGAGCAATAATTCTTGAGGCATAAAAAAAGAATTTTGCAGATGGGGTCAAAGAGGATAAAATGAGCATATCTTGCTACAGTGGAGACGTCATGGAAACCGGCGCATACATCTGGCCATAAATGGGCAATGTGTGTTCTACAGGCCACTGGATGGTTACATAACACCTCACTGTAAACACACAATGGCCCAGTTAGTGGAGCATATTGCTTTCAATGACTTCTCTTAATGAGAAGAGCAGCACAGTGTAAGTGCACTTGCACTGTGCCGAATTTCAAACTTCCTTCCACAGTAATTGCAGCTACAGGGCCGTTCTCGCTATAGTGCACAAAAAAGTTTCACAGAAGGCTTTGGTTGACATACAAGTGACTTCCTTCTGCAGAAAGGCATGTTTAAAAAAACTCCGACTTTCACACCTGTTAGCTTTGAGACAGCTCCTCTTGCTCTTGTAGCTCTCCTCTTGCATTTGAGGCCCGTGCTCCTTTATCTGTCCCTTTTGGTGGCAGAACATCACGTAGTTAAGTCCTTTGTTGTTAGCCCAGAATGTGCCCGCTGATGATTCATAACAGAGACAGAACTCCAATCTAGTCCCTTCTCTCTCAAACGGAGGCACCAAAGTATACTTGAAGGCAAACCTGTCTGTTTTTTTATCACTGGACCCGGGCACATAGTCTGCCAGGAGGTCAAAGCAGCTGTTCCAGCGGTCGAGAGTGATCCGGGCAAAAACAGACTTACTGTAGCTGAGGTTGACCACCCTGACGATGCCTCGAAGGGTGGCGGACCCTGGGAGGAGTTCAATGCTCTCCAGCTCGACCATCTGTGCCTGCAGCCTATGTTCCAGCTCCTCCGGGGATGACGGGACGGTAAACAGACAGCACATATAGAGCTCCTCTAATAAATGAAGTGCCGACTGCTCAACAGCCCGACTGACTTCTAGTTCTGCCGCTTCAGCACTGTCAAACTCCTTGACAGAGACCAGGTTGAGGCCAAATGCATCTGCGAAAGACACCTTCCTGCGAATAACTGGTGGGGGTTCTGGTTCCGAGTCGTCATCTGTCTCCTCATCTGTGGTGGAGCCCGTGAGAAAAGAGGCCTTCATTCCCCCCTCATCCTGTTTTCCACTTTTCCCTTGTTCCTCCTCCATCATCAGCCCGTCCTGTTGCGAGGGTTGAACGCACAGAGTCTCCATAATACGCGATGGTCTTGAGCTGTCTGTCCTGTCCTGCCGTCTTTTCGCTAGGAGGGTGGCACAGACCAGAGTGACCCTCGCCCGGCTACAGTGATAGTGTAGAGGGGAGAGCAGGGAGAGGACGTGACTTGACAGATGGAGTTCGGTTACAGCGAAGCTCGTGAGCCTGAGCCAGGCCTATTAATAGGACACATATAACTAGACCAAGGCTGGCCTGTTATACTCGCGGTTACGCTCTCATAATATGTTTGTTAGTAACATCATAACTACATGAAAGCAAAGCATTTACAGAGCTCTACAATGGAAAATTAGTGCAGAAAAAGGACATACTTGAAGCTACTTTGAAGTTTTTTATTTTATTTTACATTTACTTGCTTTGCAGCAACAAAGTCTTAAAGGTTTCACATAGCAAAATTTCTACCTGCTTATCGACAATCCACACCTGATACAGTATCTCTGCATTCTTGGCTACACTGTAAAAGCAGTTGTCTAGTTTTACTTAATGGTGATCAGGCCTCTGGGTATAAATCTAAAGCTCAACAGACTCAAGTTTGATGAAAAGTCATCCTTTGAAACAGCACAAATGGAGAGTGATCGATCAACCTAAGGACTGATGGTTAGCATAAGGCGCACATATGGGAACAGCTCTGAGATACTTTCGTTTTTGTTTAGGAATCTCACCAGTGTTAAAAGCAATAAAATGTAAAATGTATTCTCCAGACAAAGTAACTATTAGTGCTGCCGCTTCAAAGTATTTACTGACACTGATCAACTGAAGTACCATAGGAAGCTACAGTAAGTTGGTCTGAAACTGAAACTGAATTGCCACACCTAAATTCCTTGTGTTACCAAGTGTGTCCCCTGCTGAAACGTCCCCTAGAAAGAAAAGTATCATCCTACCCACTGCGGGGGAGCTGCAGCTGACTAGTCACCTCCACGTGGACAGAGGAAATGAAAGCATGTCCACACTGTCATCAATAATGTATCAAATTAGTATTAGTTCTGTTGCTGTTCTTGGAAGGCCAGGGACTTTCTTGTATCATCAACATTAAAGCAGACTTAATTTTCACTGCATCTTGGACAACAAAACAGAACATTATTATGAGATTGGACTCTTTCTTTGGCTGTGTGCGTGTGCGTACTGGCATGATTTTGCACAAAGTGATCTCAGATAGGAAGTTTAATTCAACTAATCCTTGATATGCTAGATAAGTATACCCCCAAATCTTGTATATCTTGTAAATAGACATTGGTGCTTGTTGTATAATCTTTTACAAGTGTGTGAGTGGGTTTTCTTTTCCCCCAAAGGACCCTTTGTTCTTCATACTTAAGCCAAAAAAGCTCTCCTTGGACTTTTCAACTGCAGTTTTAGTGATTAAGTTGCATCATTTGCAGCGTATGAAAAGGCAGACACGTGACAAGTGTTAATTTGCTACAGCTAAGTGCAATTATATAAAATACATGACACTAAATGCATACAGTCAGTAGCAGGAATGCTAAAAAATGTCTAAACGCAAGACGAATTGTGTGACTAAGTTTTATCAGTAGATGGCACTATGTGATCATAGTAAAATTCATGTCAGCACAAGTTAAAATTCATTTGCATTTCCACTTTAGTCTCCCTTAGTGTGATAATGAGTTCCAGGCGTACAGTTAGCCTTGTCCACAAACAAGATCATTACAGAAGGAAAAGGTAATATTAATATTTCTTCTGTGTACCTAAGACTTCCTGTGCCAGTTACTTTCATCAGAAAGTTTTTCTGTTTTAAAGAATGACCAGTAGGTGGCGGCATACCACCGTCACAATTCCACGAGACTGCTTTTCCCTTCATGTCCTCATCATTTTGCAGATGCTGCTTCCTCTAATTCACATTTCACGTAATATTTAGTTGCAATAAAGATTTTTTAACACAAACAAAAGCACAAAACGGTAGAAAAGACTGTGTGCGTATACCACACAATTACTGGAACAATCCCAGTTTATATTACATCAGACAGATAAGTGTCTAATACTGTATTTTTTCAGATGATTTTAGAATATAATACGGGTATTCCGTGCATACACGCCAATAGGAAACAGCTTTCAGGATAATGCTGATAATAATAATAATAATAACTAAAAGATAATGTATTTTTAAATTTTTTTTACGTATTTAGTCAGTAATAATAATAATAATGGTAATAACAATACATCTTTTTTTGTATTTTAAATTCACATGGCCACACTACACAGCAACATGTACACATCACATACAACCGTGTTTCTCTCAATTATTTGTAACATAAATAACACCAGATATATAATCTTTAAATGCACTAATCGCCCTTCTTAAGCAAAACACTTAACTCCTACTCCTTTTCCTTTCCCACTTGATATTATTCTGATTATTTATTTCTTAGCTATGAACATCGTACCGTCTGAAGAAAAAAGGGGGGAGGGGGGATAGAAAGAAAATAGAAAGAAAGGAGAGGAAAGACGAGATAGAAGAAAGCAAATCATTTTAACTACTGCTCAGGGTTGTGCTCAGTGTTTGACTGGCTTCGGATCTACTATTAGATGAATAAATACACTAAATTACGTTGTAAAGGTATGACAGAATAAGTAATAATAAAATCCTCCAGTCAAGAATCTGTACATGTTGTCATATCTTTTTCTTTTGTAAAGTATTTATTCAACAGTGATTTTCTGTATACAGAGTTTAACCTTAAACGTGTTTACACTAAAGCACAATTTTAATAACACTCATAATGATGATGGCGTTTAGGATGTTATGTTTTTCACGCACTGGTTTTCCAATCATCCTCTCAGTGTAAACACTTGTAGGCGAGCGCGAATATTTCTGTCTGCAAACCTACAATTTAATGACGTGCACGTAAAAACGCCAGCTTTAAAAATGCCACTGCTGATGAGAGAGGTGCAGTTTAAACTCTGGCTCGAAAGCTGCTGAAGATTTTAAGGTATATTTGTTTACATCGATGCTTTCATTTGCATTATTATTTGTTTAAAAAAAATCCTGTCATGCAGTTTTATGAAAGTCGGTTAATTACGCAAAATTTGAGAGGAGAAAACACACAAAATGACCTATTCCTTAAAAAGATTCAAAAGGGAAACAGTCACGATTGATGTATGCCGGAGGAAGCTGCTACATAAAAGCAGATCCTCTTGATGAAATATTGCAGGAACATTAAAGGCATATATTGATTCTTTTCTTCATTTTAATAGCGGATGGTTTCGCACTACTTCTTTGCGAGTTTTAGCATATAAAGTCAAGTTTATCAAAAACAAGAAATGTTGCTTTTTGGTTGGCGGGATCGTCCCATTAGTGGAAGGTTACCGGTTCAATCCCCAACAATAATATCTAACTATGGTGAACGCTTCCTCACACGGGCAGCAGCACTCCCCGCTAAAATACTTAATAGTTAAACGTTAGCGAAGAGTGAAAAAAGGGGGGGAGCAAACTTTTAAAAATACTTTTTTTTTTGTTTACAGAGCAGGTGGCCCTGACGTCACACGGGGTCGCAGTACGCCCAAAAATAACAAACACACCTCCGCGAACAAGCAAGTGCCTCCCCTGGGGGGGTTCTAGTCCCAAATATACTACTTGCTTGCCGGGTTGCTGCCTGATGTGTGTTTGAATCGTAACGAAAGAAAGAAAGAAAAAAAAAACAAGCCGCTTCTTCTTCCTCGCATTGCGCGTCATTCAAACAGGACTCAGTATATTGCTTTTCTCTCTGTTGCATTAGTAATAACAGCGGCGTTGACGGGAGACCGCAGGAGAGAGTGTGTGTGTGTGTGTCTGTCTCCGACAGCGGTGCCCAGCGGAGGAATATTTGAGCTTTTTTTTATTTACTCTGCAGCTTGTTGTTCATTTTCTCTGCGTTATGGTGAACTTGGACAGTCACGTGCGAAGACGGCTGCAAGTGTAGAGGACGACGGCTTCTCACCTGGCGTGTCCACTTTGACTTTAGGGAAATATACCTGCCGTTTCTCGTGGTAAGTTTTCCTGCGCAGGAGCGTATTAGTCTCCGAAAACCTTTGACTATTTTTTTCTAAACCTCTCTGTCCACTGCATTTGAATTAGGAAGTGAACCGCTGGTTGTCAAGTTTTTGCTTTTTGTTGGGTTATTATTTACACGTTGCGCTCGGAGTTAGCGAGCTGCTTTGACAGATTTCCCCTAGCTCGGCATTCGCTTAAAAAACTGTTAGGACCTTTTGAGAGCACTGTCCAGTCTTTGCCTGCTCTGAAAGCTGAACGCTGTTTTTTTTTTTTTTTTTAAGTGCGACGATATAAAACAAGTTGTTAATTTTCTAAGACATTTATTACACACGTCTAACAGAATTAGGCTATTTACCGATTTTTATTCACCGTTATGTGATAAATTAAATATTTGAAAATTAATTTAAAAAGTTTGCTCCGAAACCAGCTCAATTCTTTTGTTTCTTTTTTTTGTATATATATATATATAGTCTTCACTAGAAAAAAATAAACAAAAAACTACATAAAGGACAAGTATCTACATGAATTTAATTGGAAGCTATTTTATTTTCCAGCTGATTTTATTTTTATGCAGCTACCTACTACGTTTTAGTAATTAGTAAAAAAAAAAAAAAAGAAACTGTGATTTGATTTGCATCGTATTACAGCTTCTGTGTGTAAGATATAAAGTCAGTTTAATTCTTTTTCAGTGCAATCCTTTAGTGTTCTAGCCATATAATGATATCACATATGACTGGTGGTTTTAAAACCATGTTCCACGAGTGCTCAGATATATTTTTCTTTAAATACCACTGTCACAGCTTCTTAAGCTCAAAAGCTGCATTTAGATTTAATGATCCTTTACCTGCATGACTGCTGTCTGCGTTATCAATATCTACGATTAATCAGCTTACCGTAGTTGCATGCTCCATTTTTATATTCCATCTTTTTTCGTTGTCCAGAAACAGACAGGGGTGTTGGTAGTGTATTGCTTTTCATCATGATAAACCTCCAATTCAGACTAATTTCTCTAAACATTACAAGCTCCTAAAAAAAATCTTCTGCTGGCCTCCTCTATTTCACACTCCCTGTCCCTCCTGTCTTGCAATCAAGTGTGGCCCAAAAATCAATAGATGTAACTTTTTTTCCCCTCTCTTTTGGTAAAGAAAGGCTAACAAGGCACTGGGAGCTGCAGAACTCTTCAGGCCTGTCCTCTGATCAGCTTTCACCCCTGGATTAGCTGGATCGACCTTACTTGTTCAAGCCGCAGGGTGCACAGGTGTTCCCTCCTCAGTTATGCAGGTGTGGGCCAGTTCCCCCCCTCACTCAGCAGCGCTCACTCTTCAAAGGCCAGGCGGCAATAAATGCCCCCTGTGAAATATGTCAGCGACAGCGCACAATCAACCCCTTTGTTGAAATGCCCCTGTAATCATTTCTCAAAGTGTGTTTAAAACAGACTCTTGTTTACTTGTTGTTTAGGTGTCCTTGCATTTGGTAAGTGAGGCCACTGGATTTTGTAAAACAGGATGCATTCTTCTCCTTCCCTTACCACTTAAGGCAGTGGGAGAGATGCAGAGAGACCTGCCATTAGTCTCCCTTCAAGACTGACCGTTGCTGGGAGCAGCGCACTTATTACCCCGGCTCTCCCCACTCTGCGTCCATTTTTTGATTGCAGCATTCATCATTGGGTGGTCGTGCTCTACATTATGGTAATAGGAAAATGAATGTCCTCCACAGGATTAATGTGTATACCCTGTCATATGTTTCAATCATTTATCAAAATTAAGATTCGGCTTTCAGCTCAATGAACGCTGGTTGATGCATGATTTTGTCTCAGATATGAGAATTGTTGCTTCTAGCTGAACTCAAGTAGAAAAATCCTTTGTGTTTATTATTTTTTTTTATTCTAATACTCCTGCGGAAACTTGCTCAGTTTCCACAGTTTTTTATTGTGCAATGTGCAAAATAAAAAAAGGGGGTGGGGGGGTTTGATTAGAAGAAAGTGGCTTTTATACACAGATCACATCAGTGTTGTTTTTGGCTCTTTAGATAATGAAACACTCATTTTTGGATTAGTGTTTGAATCGCACCATCACCCATCCCCCAGTACCACTGTAATGAAGCAGACTGTTCACTCAACCCTTGAGGTGTTGGTGCTTTTCTTTTCTTTTTTCTTTTTTTTCGGGGGGGGCATGCATGGTTAAGAAATTTGAGGGAGTGGCGCACTAGCAGCATCACTTATCTAACCTCGTCAGTGAGTCCATCCAGTGTGTTTTCACTCAGCCCCTGTTACGTAAACTTAAAGGTAATTAAATGGCATGTGTTCAGGTTATATCCCTTCATAGAAATGTTTCTATGACAACCTCCGTACCTCCGTGCAAGTTAAAGCAACCAGAAGTGATCACGTCCGTCCCCCCCCCTCCCCGCTGCACTTTGGTTCCCTCCCCCTCCAAGTTAAGAATGGAATTTGTGTTGACAGTTTTGGCCTTTAATGGCACTTTTGTGCCGCGCAAAAGTATTTGTTTACCAGGATCATATGCTGCAAGCTGTCAGCTTTGGAGAGATTGACTTCGTAAGATAAAAGAGTGCATTACATGCTTAGGAGGCCACTCTTTTGGACTGTAATTATCCACATCTCAGTAATGATGTTTTGTGTGTCCCAGTTACTAAGAGTCTTGAGACAGCTCAGACTTTTTTAGTTACGCTCTGGGTCACTTCTTAAGCCCAGCTAGACACTGTTGTCGACGAGGAACGCTGTGACTCTTTGGCTGGAGAAAGCTGTGTAGGGTGGGGTCAGGGGATGTGGATTATAGAGAGATTGCAGGCTCCTCACACAAGGGTGAGTTAATAAGGAAAAGTTGGTAACATACTCACTGACCATTTGATTTTTATGCTTGCTTTCCCAAGTTAAAAAGATTATCTGGCTATGCTGTAAATTGACTTTAATCAAAACAGTCACGTATCAAAATGTCCTGTAAAGATTGTTTTTGCAAATATTACTACATCTTACGTCATCATGTATCCCTCCAAGGGTTGTAAAACTTACAAACAGATGACCACACTCCACAAGCTGAGATGTGTAGTTTTTTGCTGGCGTGTATCACAGTGTGTCTGACTCTAAATGCAAAGGAGCATTCATGCAAAGTTATAAAACATTAGCTTTGTGTACACAATCTTTCTTACAGTTATGAAAAATAAGTCATGCTTTTCATAAAGTTTAAATTTCTCCTCTTGGCTGTTCTACTTTTGACCGTGACCTCATATATTGTAGTCTTCCTTTCAGCTGACACCAAGCTGCAACCTTCAGGGGTGAAAGATGGAAGCCAGCACGGATTGCCAGAAACTGCAGTTCCTGTAATAGCCACTTGAGGCTGTCTCCAAAAGCGAGTCAATCTCCACAGACTCCAGCATTAAATCGCTGAACTCTACAGCCTGGTACAAAAGCATTTTATTCATTCTCTTTAGCTCATTTCCAGCTTTTTGGGAAGATTAGGTTTTTGTTAGAATTTATCCATTTAAATGTTATTTAAACTGCTATGAGCGACAGGTAATTGGAACAGTATTACACTTTTCTAGTCCTACCACTCAAAGGTGGGTGCTGACACAGTTGGATAAATGCTAGCTGTTTGCTGATTCAAGTCACTAACAGTACCTTCAAACCATGCAGCCTTTTGGAGCCTTTTTAATGCAGTTAGCTGACAAATGATATGGATTGCTGTGTTGTTAATTGTACTTTCAGACTTTCCAGGAAGTCTCTTTTAAGTTTGCTGAGTGATGTTCAAACGTTTTATTTGTATGTTGTTTTTCCACTAAATAGTAGACATCTGTGTCTGTATGATGCATCCACGCAGTCTATGGATGCACCTTGACAACCAAACTTCCACCCACTCATCCAGATGTGTTCACTTCTGGTTCTAAAAAAAGATGGAAATGCAGGATTCAAAATGTGGAGCCCACAACAGGCGATGTTGGTTGTGGCCACATACAACCATGGGTCCATTTGATAGCAGCCACAGACCTTACATGTTTTTATATCCTCAGTTTTTCTTTCTTTCTTTTTGAGTTAGCAGTTGCATGTTTACTGTGTGGCCAGTGTGGTGTGAGGGCATGACAGCTTTTATTCAAGTCACGGTCAGATGGACGATGTCCTCATGTGAAAAAAAAAAAGTGTTGGTTTTGGGGGTCTTTCCCTGAATTAAAGACAGAAGGTCACTCATGGTAAAAGGCAAGGTCACCGTTACTCAGACTGCATTCAGCCATCAGCTTGTCACTTGTAAACAGTGAGGACTGAGGTCCACTGAGGTTTAGAAGGTCTTTATATACGATATGTTAATAGAATAATGATTATTTTAATTAATTTCACAAAAGAAATGGAAGAAAAAAGAAAAAGAGGTTAGATTTCATAATGCCTAAGTTGGTTTTTACCTTAAATAAATAAATAAACTATTAGTTAATGAGTGTACAGTTGTAAAGACTGGGCTTTATAGAATGGTTTGTATCAATGGGTTTTATCCTGTTTAGAAACAAAAACACACCGTGCCTCACAGAGGAAGGAGCTTTCCTCTTTACCCTAAGAGACACAGAGAAAAAGGGAAAAAATGTTTATTTCAAACATGTTGTGTGTGTAGGGGGAAAAAACATGAAAGAGAGGGGGGGGTCATGACAGTAACAATTTTTGACAGGCACATTAGGCTGCAGAAAGAGCATCCAGCTCGGGGCTGAGGGCATATGGTGCTGCCTTCTGCTGGCATAGCTCTAGAACAAGTTACAGCACTCGTGCAGGGTCACGACTGTCTCAGGTTTGTTCTTTCTGTCTCACCCGTCTAAATAAAAACAGGGGGGAGAAAAATGGTAGTGGGGGGTTGGGTTGCGGTGGTGTTGAGCATGCTGGGCATAGCTTTGGTGCTGTACACTAGCCGTGTCTTTCAGCAAAAGGACAAAGAGAATGTTCCCAGTCAGGCCCCTTTGAGTCAGGACATAATTTGGTCAAAACGTGGAAGGGAGACGTTTGACATTTCCAGAAATGCATCGCTTTAACTTTGGATTGTTTCGCCACCATGCACTCTCCACCACAGTTTTTATTTCTGGCATTGCAAATGTAAATCTGCATAAAACATAATAGCAGTTATCAAGTTCAGAGCAAGTACAGCGTAGTGCTTTTCTCTTCTTTCACCATCTGAACACCCAGCTCGTGCTCCTGGATGGCAATCCCTAATCCTACTCTAAACAATGGCCATGTTTTCACCACACAGGCTCTTCTAGGTTTTCTCCTCTGTAATGTGGAGAGGATGGACTTGGATATTGTGGAGGATGACGCAGGGCTTTGGTTTGAAGGCAACAGATCGGTGGGAGGGTAATTACAGGCTACTGTGTGGCTCTTTGGATTTTCCCTGGATCACAGCTATAGGCCATGAAGCTCAGCCTCAAATGCAACTCTCTGAGAATGAAGTAAAATAGCCACAACATATGGACCCAACAAAACAATGGTTTATTTTTACGATTTTTGATGAGTGGTTTTTAATTTAGATTGTCACTCCTGGCAAGGAGCAGGGCAGATGGTGCAGACTTGAGTGCCCATCAGAGCCTAAATACCTCCAGGCAGCTGTTGGCCATAAACTTTTTTTCTCTAGCATTTTCTCTCTTTAACACGGCTCGGGTCAAGAGGAGTCAAACCTGTTACAACACCTGTTTCTGCATATGCAAATCTGTTGTTTTGTCATTTCATTAGGCAAGGCGAAAAGACGGGGGTCCCTTGTGGTTGCAAATGCGACTGGCACTGGGCCCAGTTGGCACGCTGCACTGTAGAAAGAGGCTTGAGGCAGGGTGAGGGGAGGGAAGACGAGTTTGGTTTCTGTAGCACAAGCGACTTAACCATTGGGTTCCTTTACATCACAGCTCAATTTCGGGGTGGGCATCAAGTTGGACTGGATGTAAGGAGGGGGTAAAGTTCCACTCTCTATTTTATATGTATATCATCTCTGTAAAGAGGATCCGAAAGTGAATGATGAAGGAAGGCAAAAATTGGCACACGTGTGGCTGGCACGCGCCACTCGCCTCCTTCACCCAGGACGGGGTGGGGGTACCCCCCCCCCTCAATATCCTCTCCTCTACTCCCCCTTCCCAACCTCATCCCTTCATCATCTGGCGCTCTCCCGCAGCGCTCGTCTCTTAACCACATGTGCCAGTGCAGGGCCTGCTCTTGCTCCGGGGCTAATTGTTCACTGGTAAAACTGCATGCTTGTTGGTGGGGGTCTCCCCTTCAACCAGACATAGGGATACAAAGCAGGGTGGCGGTGTGTTTGGGAGCATGGGGTGGGGGGGGGCTCAAGATCATGATCTCTTCATGCAGTTTATTTTTCCCGTATAAGTCTGAAGATTGTCAGTTGTAATCCTGCCTATGTGCTGAATGCAACAAATACACCATGAAATTAAAGGTTATTGCAGGAGCGTAATGCAAAAGCTCTGTTTGAGATTACCAAAGCTGTTTGCAGACTTGCGGAGGATGAGAAGTGGGGAAAACACAGTATGTTTTCCTTTCCTGTGTTTGACAGTTTATATCTTCCTTTGATCACTGGATTGATGGGTCATTCTAAACAGATGTTTAGAATATTCAGACTTCCTTTCATTACAGTTGTTCAAAAAGCCTTTAAGGCATTACAGTTACACTCACACCGAATGGATCTATCAACATTTGAGATTCCAGATTATTTTTTAAAATACAAATTTGTATTTTAAGTAGTTAACCTTGGTGTGTTGTCGCTGAATTCAGTGTAGCGTGCTCTCTTGAACTTTTTCACAAGTGCCTTCATCAGCGTACACTTAAGAGTTAGATGGATGGAAAGACCCAGGACTAGTGCCTTTGCTGAGTTAATCTCATCTGATAACTGCTGTCTTCCCCTTCCTTCTCCTCCTTTCTTTTCTCCCACTCTCTGTCCTCCTCCTTTCTCTGCCATGGCTTGGTGGGTCTGATTTGTAGTTCTGCTCCTCTCTCACAGAAGGCATTAAAGCCAGGCCCCACAAGCCCCCTCTGATACGGGAGAGTTCATTAGAGATGTGCCTTTGATGGGCAGCCTTTTCATGTGACTACCGGTTTTTCAAATACCTTGATGTAGAAGCTTAAGAAGCCATTGTGCAGTAAGCCCTCCTTTTGATGCGACTTATTTAGATCTGCATAGTAAATCAGGGGGGAGTAAATAACCAGCCAGCAGATGGAAGCAAGGAGATAAGGCAGCAGCGAACAATCGCATTTGTATTTTGTTATGATGTTGACAGCAGCTAAAATTCACTAATCTAGAGCCACTGATCTGCATTTCAAAGAAATCTCATTTAGCAGCGGGGAGGATAAAGTTCCTCTCATTGTGTCTATTTTATTGCATTCTTCGCTAATTTATCTGCCCACAGATTTAACGTGCAGGGCTTGGTGGTAGGAGCCGGCGTCCGTGCGTTGCATAGGGGGTCTTAAATACTGTGAAAGCGGTTACGTCTAGACTGTGAGCTGAGGGTAATTACACGTCTGACCATGAATAGAATGAGTTTGAAGACTCATCTTTCTTCAGGCAGGCCTGAATTGCTCGACTAACACTGATAAGGAGCATTTGGTCCCCACAGAAATATTGCCAGTGACTTTCCATAACGCCCCCCCTCTCTTTCCAACACCAAGGATGGTATTTACTTTTAAGATAAAGTTATTGTGTACAGTAATCTGACTTGTTAGCATAATGTCCTCTTTCATCGCAGGACCCTCCTTTTTCTGCTGTGTGGAGGTATTTGTGGTCCAGGTCTTAAATAGTTTATCTTGACTTAGCGCACAAGCACTTTATGTAAATATCAGCCTATAGCATTATTAGACCTTCATGAATAGTTGAATGCTTTTGCCATATTTATAAGTTGATAGAATTTACCAATGGTTTTATACTTGGCATAAAGACATGTGTGTTATTTGTAAATCCCCACGAATTGGAGGTCATGCAGACTAATAGCATTCCAAATGCTTTTCCACTGAATAAAATATAACATCTGCATGGCCACAGGGTGCTGTGATGTTGGAAGTCTACCCAGGAGCAAATGATTTAAGAGAAGTGGGGGGCATTATCTAAAAATTATATTTTATATCTATATTATATCTAAAGTGGCTCCTTAGTGTAGTGGTTTACACATTCGATAACAGGGAACAAATCCTCGGTTTGATCCCAGGAGCCGCAAGTCCTTTTGGGGTTGTGAAAGGAAGGGCATCAGGTTTAAAAAATCGGCCAAATCAAACATGTGGAGATACCTGCTGTGGCAACCCTTTGTGAATAAGGAAACAGCTGAAAGTAGCTTATCCATATTATATCTAAAAAATGCTATTTCAGATGTAGTAATCCCATCCACGTAGAAGTTTCACTCTACTTAAATACACATTAAAACAATCGTTATTATTGGGATTCTGAAACTTTTCATGTCGGTTTTCCCAATATCCAGTCCACTGGTTGGTGCTCACCCCCCCAGTCTTAAACCTTCTTACCCCATTCTTTGCAAATATTGTGCAGCAATATGTGCAACGTTTTTTCCACAAACTCAAAACAGTGAGAAATTATACCAGTTGGCATGTTTTTGTTTTCAGCTGTGCTCTGTGAGCTCCGGGCCTTTTGCACAGTTCAGAGAGCACATTCCTTAGGATTCAGCAGTCGCTGGTTGCCTGTAGGGGTCATTGGAATTCTGGGAGAATAAAAGGGAGAGGAATAAAAAAAACATCCCAGAGAGGAACATCGAGCCCATTTTTTGCCCTTCATGCCCCCAGCAGCAGAATGTGGCCTCTCTGATGCTCCTGGGGACTTGTTGTTAGCCCCTAGTTCTCTAAATGTAATGCATGTGCAATAAAAGTGTCCAGATCAATCAGTAGCTGCAGATGCAGTTGTATTCTTCTTTCAATGTACTTGTGTGATTAACACAAAAATCATCAATGCTAATGGGCTCTAAATTATATGGATACCATAGCATGTGTACTTAGATTCAGACAGCTGAATGGAAGTATATGAGAAATCAATCGTGTCAGGTTAACGGTGTGATTTACTTGGCGTTGAGAGCTAGAGCCTTCCAGGCACTGCGCCTTTTAACTTTACAGAGATTGAGCAGTTTGGGGGCAGGGGAGTGTACTGTACCGTACATTGCCTGTTGGTGCATGCATTTACACACAGATATATACCCACACACATATGCTCTCAGGCTTCACAGCAAAAATCCAGGTGCACTTTGTTGTCACAAAGTTTACTGCCTTTACCTACAAACCTTACAGAAAATAGTTATGCAATAAGCCATCTAGCCCACACTTGTTAGTTCCAGCAATGAATGTTCCTAGGGGGGAAAAAAATCAGCGTGTCATAAAGTAGTTTTGGACTAACAGTGTGCTTTTGTTTTCTCTTATCTCAGAGAGCTGACATTGCTGGACTGCTACCCCACCTGTGACGGACAACAACAGCAAGTTCTCTCCCTGAGGGTAAGTATTTGAACATAGTCCCGTCATGTCCGTCGGTCAAAGCATCCTGGACCTTGGGAGGGATTTAGAGCCGCATGTATTTTCAAAGCTCTGTGTTAAAATTAAAAGTACACAGTGCATTGCTAAGGCCAATTAATCTTTCCGAGTAAAACTCGTATGTAAAACAGTTGTGTGTTTGCATGCAATGACTGTGTCTTTGTTTTTAGTCTGTGCTTGATAGTGTTACGGTATTGTTAACCTGCCCGTGTTAGGGTGATTGTAGTGGCTGGAAGAGGTCAGTGGGGCCCCATTCCTCCTCAAATGTAACAAATCTTCATCTTGTCTACCTTGATAGAATTCCCCCTTCACTGGGCAACCTTTCAGTTGTGCCTGTTTGGTTTTCACACCCCAAGGATTTTCAATCTACTCTTACTTAGAAGTTATGATATGCACTATGGCTGACAAATGTGAGCAAGCTTGGATTTCTTTTTTCTTTTTCTTTTTCTTTTTTTTACTTTTTCTTTTTTATGCAATTGATGTCTTGATTGAGATTTGTAGCAGAACTAGAATTGAAGAGGGGTTACATTGTTCCTAAATTCGGAATATTCCACATGTATCTCTCTATATTGGTGAACACAGCAGGTGGCAAAAGTGGGACTCCACCAGTCAGACTTTTTCCATACAAATAATTATGAAGTTGAATTTTGTGAATTGGAATGAAGAGTAACAAACAAAGAACAAAAATATATGACTATTAAAAAGCCCCAAAACATTTATTTATGATTTAAATCTAGTTTATTTGCATGTTTTATTCCAGCCTAGTCCGTGTCTTTACTGCATTTTACCTCCTTTCGTCCTCTGCTCTCTGTTTCACCGTCTGTGTCATATTGTGTGCTGAGCTCTGCTAAGCAGAGCTTATGAGAGTAAAGCCGACAGTTTTTCTACCATTTATAGAACAATGTTTGTTTACAATAAAATCACAATGCAAGCAGCCAAACAGAACTTAAAAACATTGGAAACTGTTGCATTAAATTAAATAGAGCCCACAGATCAACCCGTAGCCTCAGATTCCAAATCCGGCTATTTCTAGCTATTGAGTCAGTTACAAAGTATCTGCTCAATACATGTCTAGACAAATGCGCTTTTTTTGTTGTTTTTTTCAGTGTGCTTCTCATATTTATGGTCCGACATGTTTCTTATTTTTCTTTTTAGGGATGAAATATGTATACAGTGCACCCGTAGAAAAAAGCAGACGACAAACACTGTAAAGTGCAAAGTGGTAAGTGAAAGCAGTTTTCATTGTCCTTGCATGCCTGGTGTTGTGTTTTCTTTCAGATTAATGTGTCCACTGTAATGAGGCACATCAGTCACGACTGCTGATGGGGTTTGGCTTTAGAGAAACAGTCCTGGGTGCTGAAATGACAAATCAGCCGAGCGGGGGATGAGAAAAGTGTACATATCAGTGTATCATTTTCTTATGGATATTGGTCATATGGTCTGGAGGGTGTTATTGTGACCTTATTAAAAAGAAAAAGCACAACTGTTGTATAAAGGTTGCACATGATAATCTGCCATTTTACATAATGCAATAGCCATTTATTTATTGCAGCTAATTAAATGCCACAATTATTCTGTCAAGGCCAAAGACGGAGGAATGTTTGTCTATTTTGCAAGACAATGCATAAACTTGTCGAGGTGGAGCTATTACATTTTGGTGCCAATCTGGTTCATTTCCAAAAGACGTAAAAAACTTTTTTCTGTGGTTGATTTATTGTTTGAAGCTAGAAGTTTGTGTCTGTTTGCTTTGAATCAATTTTTAAATCTATTCAATCCATAACCTAACAGGAAAAAAAATCTATTTTTCTTAAAACACCATCTTGGAGTACAGTCTTTGAGGTTAAAATGTGATTAAAGTGTGTGCACATAAGCAAAGACACTCAGCATCTTGGGTGCAAGACCACTTCCACCTTCCCATTGCTTTCATTCCTGAGTGAAACAGAGTCAAGATTTCTTTTTCCACCTAAAAGAGATTTAAACATTACTTCTTAATTTGTCCAGTATTCAGTTAAATCTTCAAAGATGAACTCTTACTGCATATCTGCTAGCCTAAAAATGTCCCTCTAATCATTGCAAAAATGTGTAATTGCCTCAACACTGCAAGCTGCACTTCCACCGTAGACACATATAAAAAATCTACAGCAATTAAGCATATCTTTGGCTACTTTAAAGAAGCTACAGCTCAGTCTGAACAGCTCTCTGCGCACATTTCCAGTTTGAAATTGATTTCTTGTCATAGATCAGAGACCTCTTGTCATACCATTTTCAATCCTCAGATGGTTTCTCTGAGCCCGCTAACTGTCGTCCCTGTGAGTGGGCAAACAGGGGAACCTCCACGGGTCTTTACCCTGGGCACTCAGAACAGTCGAGGGGGTAGAGGCAGAAATCAAAGGGACTTGGATCATTCCCCATTGGCAGCCTCCATTGTCTAGCTGATTTGGGATTGGTGGAGAAGGTGAAAACTGCAGGGTCGGTGTGTGGGGGTGGATGGAGATCAGGCAAAGCAACCCTTCTTTTTTTTTTCTAATCTTTATCCACCATTAACCCCAGTGCCCCCGTGTGTGGCTGAGATCAGGGCCATTGGTCAATCCCCCATTCACTGCCACCCAGAATATTTTAAAGTTAAGCTCCATCGCTTAACAAAAAAAGTCTTACTCATCAAAGGTTTACTTTCCCTTCTTTCCCCCTTTTCCTCACTTTTGCACTCACTCCCAAGGATCTGCTGCCGTTCTTCATGCGCCCTTCTCTCTATGGTCCACTGTTTTGTCTTCACACTTAAGAAAGAGGGAGGGGGAGAAGCTGAAAGTTTTCTGGAAGTTCCCCAGTTTCCATTTTTCAATTTAATGAAGTTTGGTTTAGGGTCTGATTGTGTCATACTGTGAGCAAATTGGAAGAAAAGCCAGTGACATCTTGCCCTTTGGTGAGCTCTCTGATTAGGAGATGTCCTGTTCTTACATTACTTCCATGAAGGAATTATTTTTGCATACCTGACATTTATATTTCCAGCAATTTTTTCCTCTGCTTTTTAACTGGTGCAAATGCTCCATATAAAAAACAGTTTAAGAAGAAGATAGAATTCAGTCCAGGTCCTCTTCTCAGTATAAACACTTTAGATGAATCTCTTTTTCCACACTATACTTTTTTCCTAGCAACTATCGGGTATTTATCTCACTCACATCTATCTAAAAAAGAAATAACTGAGGGTCAGAGTAAAAAAGCAAGAGAGGATGTGGCGACGGAGGATGTCGGGTGATGAGTAAAGAAAAGAAATTGCACGGCGAATGTTTGTCCTGAGTGCACAGTTGCTATGAGAGTGAAGTTTGCAAGGAGGCTCAGAATGAGTATTACCATCATTACCTCAGAAGAAGATGGCTCTATTGATCCTCTGCGGTATTCCCCTATTTTTCTTTCATGCTATCTGTTAGCCAGTTGATTATAAATTGCCAAATCTTCATTCGAATATGAACGGATGAATCTGAATCTAGAATATGTAATTTAAGAAATTTTAATGCAGGAAAAAGAAAGTTAATTTCCCTCAGCTAAGGTGGCCTGCCTCAGCATACTTTGGGGCCCTTGCAATAGTTCTGTATATGTGTGTATATGACTCGTTGGAAATACCGCATGCAATAGGTTAATTTCTGAAGAAAAGGGAGCAAAGATCTGCTGTTTCAAGTGTTATTCTTTCCTTGCAATTTAATTCAAGAAAATCTTGGGGCGTGGAAGCAGGGCCTGATGGCATCTCTCCAAGAGCCTGAGATTATTGTGAAACCCAACCTGAGGCAGGCATGACATCAGAGAGGCCTGACTTTAGGTTGAACTCCTTATTTCAGGTGGGACGAATTATGAGTGGGCTTCGCTCGCAGGTGATCGTGTCCAGTGAATCGGTCGCACACAGTCGCGCATTCTTCTCCCAAGGTCTGAATGCTGATTGTCTTGACAGATTGAACTCGTGTGTTATCACCGAGCTGTCACGCAGCCTCATTTTTCAGCCTGCACAAATAGTCGAAAGTTTATGTTAGCCCTTCCCAGCGCAGTGTTTTATAGGGATATCGCCATCGTGACATAAACTAAATCCTACAGTGTTTTAACCTGCTGATGAGTTCTGTTTATGTAAGGGTCTGCATGCTAAGGTGCAGTACGTGGAAATAACCGAGTTGCCAAGAAGTTGCTCCTGAATTCTTGGGAGACACCAAAAATCAAACATTATTTTAAATGTGATTACAATTAACTTTTTGCACGTTAGCTTTGTGAACTTAAGTCTGTCATAACTACATTTAGGGTTTTTTTTTTAATTTGAGTGACTCAGTTTTGCTGTTTTTAATTAATGGTAGAATTCCTCTCTATGATAAGACTTTTTCTCCCCCC